CCTCATTCTCATGTTCTCCCTCGCTCCTCTCGTCCTCTTCTGAATCATCTGCAGAGCTGGTTCAGAACGCACCTTGAATGCACAAAGAACTTTGAGCTATACTAAAGTTAAATTTACTCCTAAAAGAAATTAACATATACAGTATACATATACATGTTATCGAATCAACCAACACATATAATTGATATCTACCTTGGCAGACACTGCAGGATGGTGTGTCTTCAGGTGTCTTTTCAAATTGGTTGTGTTTTTTCCACCCATCTTGAATCCACAAGGCATTCCATCCTCATTGGGAACGATACACTTAGTCTTTCTTTCAGTTTGAATATAAGAGAAATGTGTCCATAGATCGTCTCTCCTTTTTCTTCCCACCTGGGAGGCCACTGGTGAAGATGAGGCACTCAGCATTTAAGAGGCCAGCTAATGGTTTCTTTCGGCTTTTTAAGCTAGCTAGATTTATTAGTAGGCCCTGACAAGGTCAGCTTGTTCACATTAGTTATACTGAAAGCCGGAATTTGCACGGACATGCACTGAGCAGGAAAAAAAAAACATCCAATGAGAAAGATGCATGGAGGCAGTGAGAATTTGTACTTGCACTTGCAGATAAATAATTGCTTAAAGAGGAAAACAAACAAAGGTTTGAGATGGCTACTGTGATCTAGGTTGTCTGCCCGAACACAGCCGGCTATTTTGTCTCATCTTCACTCGTCAGGGCATAATGAACAGAGATTTTGCCATAATTCTTGTTGTTTTTTCATTAAATTTTGTTATTATTTCATTTATGTTGTCGTTGGAATTTAGTCGTGAAATAGAAGGTTGGCAATGTATACTTATCTCCAAAATTTTTGTTGACAAAATTAACACTGAACAGTCACCCAGCGAGGACAAAATCTTCAAAATGTAATTTTGATGAGGAGGAGGGTGCTCACCGTAATGCATCCTGAAGGGCTTGGGACAGTCCATGAGACAGAGCTGGTCCTGGACACTGGTGACATCACACGTGCCTCCCGAGGCGGGTCGGCTGTTTGGGTCCTCCACCAGGATCTGGTCATAGTCCTCCTCAACTTTGATCTTCACAGGAGCTGGGTCTGAAACAGTAGACAATGTGTTGCAGGGAGCAAATGGGCCTACAAACATGGCTGGGTATTTCAAATTAGGAGAGAAGAAAAGCAGTGGACATAAATTGGTATAAAAATACAGTATTCACATATTAAATGTACATTGCAATGCATTTGAAATTGATTCTTCTATCATAGTATTAAAGGTGTTCTTCATCCATCTTCATCAGTGTTGTCAATCACACTACAATCACTTATCCTGACATGCACCCAGTCCTAGTTTAGTTTCATGTAGCTAGCTTGGTGTACTACGGCTTAAGACTGCAGCAATCATATTTCAGAGCTGAATCCTTTGATAGCACTTGGCAGGGCTTCATGTCCTCTCCTAAGCCTACTTAAAACCAAATAATAAACATTCAAACATGAGCTGTATGCTGTCAGGTTTTTCGTTTTTGTCAGTAAAGCCGTACAACACTACTTTGACTGTAAAGTAATTGCCAAATGTGGACAATAGTAATCATAGTCTGGATCATGGTTAAAAATCCTAAATGGTCGTATTTTATTTATGATAGAAAGTTATCACACTAAGTTTCCCGAGTAAAGAGACATATTTATGTGTGACAGCGCTCCACGCTGTGGTTTGGTCAACAGGCTAACCCATAAGAGCTCGAGCTTTAATTAATACAGTGACAACTGTATTCTTTTACCGTTAAATTCATCTTCAAAGGAAATCGAAACATATTATAATTATTGGTCAAATTACATAGCAATACAAAATCGTAGTTTGGTTCTTCATCTTGGATGCGAACTGAAATGAACTGGCTGCATTGTAAACATACCAATAATTACTTTTATGGTTATTACTGCAGTAGGGGCTAATCTACATTTAATCACCTTGAAAAGTAACATGACATTATCACATATTCGTGGTTCGTTCAGTCACGTGCAACCAATACATAACCTGCAAAACAGCCTACAAGAAACTGTCTCTCTTGCAAAATACTTAGGTTACAGGAAATAACATCTGACTTGTGGACAGATATTTAGTTGTTCAACGTTTCGATTCGATAAAGGATGCTGGGTTCAACAGGCGACTGTCCGTCAAGCAAACGCCTTTTCTGTATTTGCTTGAAGATAAAATCTCGTTGTTAGCAAGCGGTAAGGAAACTCATTCCACAGTTACATCACTGGAAGTGTGTGTTGTACAATTCAGTGTCTATGTTCTTGTATAAAATACTAATGAAACTGGACGGTGGGGGTTCGGATGACACACACAACATTGACATGTACTCGGACAAACAAAGGACCGCCCAAAATCATTATGGTTTGTGACACCAACCAAAGGATTGACTGAACTACAGGAAACGGGAGGGTCGACTGATCGCAGGCAGTAAATATGTCGGTGCAACACTTAAACAAAAGTGTAAATTGATTAGGAACAATATTCAGGATTGAATCAGTTACAAGAAACGCTGACTGGTCGTGCCGCGCACCGTTTGTATTTCGTAATGGAGGAACGCTCAGTATCGTTCATGGTTTGACTGCAGCTTCAAGGAACGGGGAGACCATTCTCATTCGTGCTGTGGATAACTTGGCGGTAGTTGGTTGCACAGCCAAGATGCATTTTACCAGCACTTGTTATATATCTTTCCACATTTTACAAGGTCCCTTTCCAAACATCACGCTATTTCAGTTTCGATTGAACGAATTACCTAGCCCATTACATCTGAGTCCGGGGAGGTACATTCAGCCGAAAATAAACTTTGATCCTGTGCGTGTTCTATTCATGTTAACATTGCCTATTTAGAAGAACCAGAACAGTTAAACTCATCCAAACGATTTCGCGACCCTGCAAGCTATCTAGCTAGCCAAGCTGACAAGCTCTACGTGCTTGGAACGCTGTAACGTGCCACACATCGAAAATGCTAATAAGAAATTATAAAACGTTTCCTTCTGCACACAGCAGCAGACGCGATATCATGCAAACGTAGAATGCTGGAAACCAAGATGCAGATGTACAAAATCGTGTGACAATGACCAAAAAGCCTAAATTAAACACATATATGCCGTTCATACCGTTCGTTGACATGTCTGGTGTTCCGACTGTTATTTCTTTGTTATTCCCTTCCAGAAACAAGCCCGTCTGGCTATCACAGTGACCTCGTGACAGGCCCCTCCCGTTCCGCACTCACGTTCTGCTTCTGCGCGTTAAGACAATCCGCAGAGGCGTTCTCCATTTGATGTGCATAACAAAACACATGGACACTCGTTCCCGGCGCGTTTTATTGTATGACTCAATGAAAGAGGTAGGAAAACCCGGGCTACAAAAATTGAGCATGCTACTAGGTTTTTCTGACACCCACACACCAAATCAGAGGATTCCAAAAAAGTACATCCACCGGCTATATAGAGGTAAATAGTGAACTCGGTTACCTTGTTTAGTTCATGGTGGTATTTCTATGTACCCTTTGTTTTCCATCGCAACAAACGATTGATAAGTACATAATACATATGATCAATAACTTTAAAATGTTATTCTTAGCCAGTCCAGTTTAAGAGGTTAGAAAGGCAATATAAGTTGATAAAGTGTTGTTGTAAATGAGGACTAAATGAGGTTTGGAGATAATTAAGAATTTCAAGCCATGTTTTTCTGGATGTTATCTTGATTTCATATTACTAATAGTAACTTATCTTTATTAGATAATACACTCTTATCCTGATGCCTTATCAAAGTTATCAAAGCAGACACTCTACACTTGAATACATATCAGAGGAGCAACAAGAACAAAAGCCCAAAAATGAACCCGCATAAAGATAAAAAAAAAAAGAAAAAATGATTGCTGATGTGTTCTTAAACAATTTTAAATCATCATGGTCCAAGTGGTTGAAAATGTTTTTTTTTTTTTTACAGTTTTTTCTTCAGTATTTTGACTGGTGTCTCACAAAAGTATTGAAACCCTTGACCAAATCTCACATTTAACTGGATTACAAATAATGCTTGATCCTACACAATAATGTCACGTTGACATGTGGTGTGGCCACTTTTCCATAACATAGCAAAGTACATATTGAATAAATGTCTACCAGTACACACTTATTGGTTATCATTGTGCTCTTTTGTGGCACATTTATTGGCAGAAGTTGCTTAAACATCATTATGAACTGCAATTTTAAGTTGTGCCACAGATTCTTCTTGATAAGGCTGAGGTCAAGAGTTGGGGCCAGACATTGAACATTTTATTTTGTCAACATTAAAGTGATACTGTACTTTGGTATACCTAAAAGCTAGATGTCAGTTCCAGTGGCAAACTCAAAGAGATAACCTTGCTTGATATATAACTATCTTACTAAATCTTATTGTCTTTCAATGAAATGTGTTGAACTTTACACCCGTACCTTAAGAGAATAATTCTTCTAATAAGTCCTGTGGACAGATGAGTGGTGACATAAGCCCATTATGTCTGGTGAAAACCAAACACTGTGTTCTACAGTAAGAACCTCATACCAACATGGTGGTGCTAGTTTCAGATTTGGGCCCACTTTGCTACAGCAGGACTGGGAGACTGTGTACTGTCCAGCATTTCCATTTCTGCTTTTTTCACCCATAACGGAATGACCAGGGAATGGATTGCAGTGTTTTTTCTCCTAGTGGTCAGTGGTCAGATTTCAAGCTATTTTTCATCCTGTACTATGAGATGAATAGTTTTTTCCATGTGTTTAAAAAAAAAAGGGGGCACCAGGATTTGAACCTGGGACCTCTTGATCTGCAGTCAAATGCTCTACCACTGAGCTATACCCCCACTGTGTTATAGTTGAATTCAATTGAAAAAATCAATGATCAAACACCCTCTTACATTCATATATCCATGCACAAAGCATCTTGATTGACTGATGAATGAGTATTGTTTGCCAAACTTAGAATGCAGTTGATGAGTTTCAAAAAGGGCACCTGGAGTTGAATCATCGACCTCTTGTTCTGCAGTCATATGCTTTACCACTGAGCTATATACCCCCTTTTGTAGAAAGTGTCATAATACTTGCCCTCAAGTTTGCATGAACTGATATGAACCATTCTTTCACATTAAAAAATGATGATTTATAAGGAGGCACTAGGGTTTTGACACAATGTGTGTTGATTGGTAGACTGATATTCTACACATGAAGTAAATCTTTGTTGAACTAGTTTCAATTGTTGAGTCAATTTTGGATTTGCACACATACACAGTAATTGGACATATATGGTATTGTGAGATAAACATGTCTCTCAAAATTGGTAGGATTAGCTGTTTTAGTAGGGGGCTCTACCACTGAGATCTACCACTGAGGTATACCCCCCCCCCCCCCCCGTTACCATGATAATAGTACTGGAGTCCACATTTAAATTGCTGTTCATTCTTCTTATTCCACTTCAACTGAGGTGTAGATTTTTTGTTGTTGCTGTATGTATCACTTGATTTCTTCTGAGTCTGCAGTGGAGTCAAGCTTTTTGATAATATCCAAATTCAAAATGCCATTCTGCAGTGATAGCTGTAATAGCTATAGGTAGCAGGTGTTTACCATTGATACATTTCAAGGAAGACTGCGTAAGACTGTGAAAGTGCATTGGAGCACAAGACATGGAATTATGTACTAATGACTTTATATAGGGAGAAAACAGTGGAATAGGATGCCTAAGGACGACAATGATGTGTGTACCTCTTTTAGTGCGCTCCGTATTAGAAAGTTGTGAAAAAAAAAAAAAACAACTGAGATGGGTGAAATACTCTCATTAAACTGCTGAAGGAAAGCAATGTTGGGCTTGGAAAGTACTTGAATGGGAGCCTTCTGGGATATTTGTGTCTGTTGAGGGTATTGGCCAGTAGGGGGCTCTGTTCCTTCTGAAATGAACAGGAGTCCCATGCCTACCACAGTGATGAGGACATTGAGCTGTAGAGGGTGCAGCCCTTTGGCTGAGGTATTAAATCAGGGTGCTAAACCTAACTCTGGTCATTAAAAATTACCTGGCACTTTTTAATATAGAGCCGTTAATCCCAATTTCTTGGTAAAATTATAACAAACTGACTTTATACCTCTTGATACTAACCCCCTAAACCTTACTGGTCGCGCTATCCAATGTATTCAAAATTTTTGTGACAAACGGCAGGATAAAGTTAAAGGCAAATATTATGTAAATCCAACCCACAATCCCCCCCACCCCAACCCGCCACAATTTCCCCCCTTGTACCCCATGTACATTGGAAGCAAGACAGTGTCTTTAAAATAGCATGTAACACAGGTTGATTTTACAAGTACCACCCCATAATCTACATTTTCCTTCAAGGGAAAAGCCTAATATATAGTATAGCATGCGATACTATGGTATATGTAGTATTGATGTGTCCAAGATAAGATAACATGGAGAGGCATTCATATTTTTCAATGCAGTCACATTTATTGGCCTTTTCTATGCACAATTACTAAGCAGCCAGATGCACTGGCAAATGGTTCCAAGAAGATTTACCATGGAATTTTCACAATGTTTACTAAAAATAAATACAAGACTTAAAGTGTTGCACAGCTCAAAAATATACAAAGGCTAGGAATTAATGTAAACTTTGAAAACATTTTTTTTTTTGAAAACATCTTTGCAACAATTTAAAAAGATCGTATTTACAAATTTTTACAAAAATACAAAACTGATGCAAGTCCATTAACTTTAGCTTTCAGCCTGAATGAAATACCTCTGGTACCGAAGCAGTTACTCTGTAACCTTCTGTTTTGTTTGTTTATTTGTTTGTTTGTTTTTTTTTTTTGCCTGTTTGTTTTATTTCTGTAATCTTTTTTTAACACAAGTTATTAATGTTGTTTACACCTGTACACATTGGAAAGTTTTTGGCAAAATTTATGTCCACCCCAACCACCCTCCCCGTAAAACCCGCTTTATTTATGAACCATGTAGAATTGTTAAATGGTAACTCAAACAGTCTTCAAAGTAATCCTACATAAATATAAATAACAGGTACAGCAAGAAAAAACTGAGGAAACTTCACAAACTTCACTATATCAGTGCAAATGTGTATTATATATATATTTTAAACGCTGTAGTGATAGTTCACAGAATCATTTCCCATTGTGTACCCTGTTAAAAGGTGGCAGTTAAAAACAGTCCTAAAATAAAGAGATTTTTCACCTTAATGGTAACCCCAGACAAGCTGATCCTTAGCTTCATTAGTCAGCGTTGCTATAGTTAACAGAGGTCCGGGCACCATCTTGCCACAATGCAGTTCATGATCCCATAGAAATAAGAAATTTAGGTAAGCATTTCTTTTCATAAAATTCCTTACACAGTCTCAAGTTTAGTGGCAATTGAAACGAAATACAAACGTTAAGTGATGGAAAATAGTAACGCTTCGTTATGCCTTTGTATGAAGTAATGGCAAACTACAAAGCAGGGGACATGACTCACTCTCTCAAGTGTAGCTAAGGGTCATTTTCCCTTTTCATGAGTGTTTATAATATGATTAAGGCCTGAATAAAATTAACCACTTTTACTACTTTTGAGTTATTATATAACATCTGTGAAGACAGCATGGCTACATCGGTACTGTAATTTCATTACATCACTAGTGAGCAAAGTGAAAGCACCTCTAAAAAGTGGCATTTGTTTAATGATTTCACAGAACACTAGCTGTGCTCTGAATAGAGGGGGCACATGAAAGAGAAAAAAACCTCAGGAGAAAATCTGTGAGTGTGAAATGTAGCTGCACACAATTGAGATTCAGAGCACTTCTAGGGTTAATGAAGGTGGATCTTGTGAACTGTAGCTTGGATGTCAGTGAGTTTATGTCATTACAGAGTGGCTCATATGTGTCAGTTAGTTCAACCACTCTTAATTCTGATATGCTCTCTGATATGTTGTCTGCTCAACCAGTGTCTATTTAAATAAAGCTTTATCGTTTTTTTCTTTCTAGACAATCTTCATAAACAAAATAAGTCTCTGGATAAAATATCTTGTCATTAAAATATCTGCAATTTTTTAATCGTGTTATCTCAAAAGAACATAAGAACGTGTTATGACGAGAACAGGTCAGTCGGCCCAACTAAGCTCTCCATTTCAACTATTATAAAGTTTTTCATTTCATATAAAGTTTTTAAAATAGACTTACATGACCTATGGGTTTCGGCCAAATACAAGACACCACATAAATTTTCAAAATTTTGAATTCCATTTATGTCTCCAAGAGTTTTTAAACGACAAAAAGGAACTCTTTTCTAAATTATAATTAAACAGATGAAGAGAGACCACCCACGCCATTATTATGGGTTAAACTCCTAAAATTTAGCTGAAATGAAGGAAAAAATATCCAGAGGTTTGTATGATAAACAGCAGGAGACATCACCAAAAATACAGTTTTCATCCCTGACCTAGGCTTCTCCAAATCATTAGGAGTTTTGATAGATCTTAATCTATTCTTCTGATCTGTGACCAGACTGTAAAATGACAGTTATTTGTTAATTACAAAAAACAGAAAATGACAACAAACTGCAGCCAAGACAAACACTGAATCTCAGACTCTCAGCAATGAAATCCATTCCCACAGAACAACACATGCTAATCTCAAGAAAAAAAAATTATGGTTTACTGATTTTGCTACAGGATTTTAACTGGGAATAAATTCTGCCATGGTCAACTGGACTTAAAACGGCAACTGCTGACGGTCATCATGAAAGGACAAGTTCAGTGCCTCACCAACTACATATCCTCTGTTCCTCTTTTGCACTTTCCACTTACCCCTCTCTACATCTCATGTTACACACCAAAGTCAACACTAACTACAATATATCCTCTTTGCTCATCTTTTCTTCACCCCTTCCTTTTTTTTGGCTCAACCTCCATTACGCATTGTTTTCCCCCTCTGGACTTTTCCCTATCGCCATATTCCTCTCCATCCTTTCCATCTCACTGCCCACATTTCACTTCCCTCATGCTCCACAAAAATAATTTTATCCCACAAAAGATTGTCACGTTAAATCACTAAACAGATAATCCCCACTCTCTAGATTACAGTTATGTAAAAAATATCAAACATTTTTTACAGTGGTTGAACGAATCCATTCTAAAAATGCAGGTGATTCAAAAACAAACGCGATATCCTTTCTTATAACTTCTATCTCTTTACATCTCACGATTTCTTTTCAAAACACCATTGTTTTTTTATTGCATGCTTTCAATTAAAAAAGGCTTGTAAACATAAAATGGAAAATGAAGACACTTCACCACATGCTGGTCCAAAGCACAGAGTTTTGTCCAGCCAAATGTACCATGATGAATATAAAACCTAGTGGTTTCACAGCTTTTCCCCCCCTCCCCCTGCATATCTTGCACAGTGACAGTCCTCCCGATCTGTGTCAGAATTCTCTGAGCGTTTGCTACTTGCGCTTGTCAGTCGTCCTTGCTCAGAAATGGATTCACCTGAAAGTGTGACACCACTAGTTCTGAAACCAACAGAAATGCATGATTGCAAAGGTATTCACGGAATACATCGGGTAATATTTCATGGTTCTATACGCCCCCCTTCCAAGCGATGATCTTACATTTAGCCAAGTAACATTAATCAGCAGTATTGGCTTAAGCCGATTCTAATGTATTTCTTAAGAAAATAGTCTAGGCTCTCCCCGAACCAAAAATATCTGGAAACAGTATGAACATTGGATGCATGTTCTTAATTTAGTCCCATGTACATGGATCAAAACCAAACCTTTTCACTAAAACAGAAGGTTTGCTTTGTCTATATCCCATAGGTAGAAAGACTCATGTTGGGTTTTTGTGAAAGGACATATGCTTCTGAACTAACGAAGATCTCAGCCCTATGAACAATGAACAATAGGCATCATCTTCATTGTATCCTTGACTAATGTATCTAGTTTCCCTATCCTGCAAGCTATCAAATTCATTATAAATCTCTTCAGATATATATTTATAGCTTTATATTCACTACATATATATATATGTTTCATGGCAATTATGTTATG